CCGGCCCACCAAGTGGGTGGAGCCAGCCTCTGGAGGCCCTGCTGCTCCCCTGCCTACAAGCCAATTAGGGCCTGGAGGTGGGGGGAGTGCACAAAGTTTCCTCCATCTTGCCAGGAGCACACAGCGCTTGGAAGCACCAGGTGCTTCTGGCATGACAGGAGGTGGCTTTGCGTACTCCCCCGCCCACAGGTCAATCAGGGCCTGGGAATGCATGAAGTTTCCTCCGCTCTGACCCCGTCCTGCAAGCAGCGCACAGCGCTTAGAAGCACCACGTGCTCTTGGCAGGGCAGGAGGAGACTTCGCATGCTCCCCCACCCCCAGGCCCTGATTAGCCTGTGGGGGGGAGAATGGGAAGTCTCCTCCCAGCCAGGGGCCTGGGCACTGAGGGGGATTCTGGAGAGGGGAGCATAAGGCACTCCCTCACCCCCAGACCAGTCGTGGTCTAGGGGTGGGGAAACTGGAAGTATCCCGGCTCCACCCCTCCCGGTGCGGCCCGGGGTCACTTCAGAAATTTTAAGTAACCCCTGGCAAAAAATGATTGCCCACCCCGATCTAGAGTACAGAAAATATTGTAAATAGCTCTAAATATAGTGCAACGGCTCTCTTGTTTAAACTGTGGAGTGACTAACAGTGCATAGTGTGGGCAGGGCCATGCACCCTTGCTTCACCAGTACCCCTCAATACTGACCCCCTCGCATCCGACCTTTGCATGCGGAGCAGTTCTGGAGTTCTTTCAGCAGAGGCTTTGAATAGCTCTTCTGTGTTGGTTCTTTTTCCGTGTTCATCCACAAAGTATCTGAGCTCCTTCCAATAGTGTGCTGAATGGTGTGACTAACATCTGTCACATGGCTTGATTCCCTCATCCTCTCCATGTAGTGATGCACTAGAGTCCAGTCACAGATTTAATGTCTGAGGTTGACGGCCAGATCTTAACATTTAACCCATAATCCCTTACCTGTTGTAACCATAATCCCTTACCTGTTGTAACCTAACAAGGATAGCTAGACGGCCTGGAACTGACAATTCTAGACTCACAGGACTTAAAAGGTTCCTTTCATCTTTAACTCACTCAACTCAAAATCTGTCTTCATAAATAATTTTGTAATGCTGTCTGAAAAGCGTTAATGGAAACAAAATGCATTGCATTTCTAAGAACCATTTCCAGTGTGTGACACACACATCATCCCATTATTCTAATCTTAACTTGGTCCTCTCGTGAAGTGACAGCTTATGTATCAAAATCATTCAGTGGCCAACATAAAATCTTACTGTAAGTGTGCTTTGTATAAATGGAGAAATGTGAGCATCCACCACCAGAGAAAAGCATATAGATATTATTTATTTTTAAAAAGACACTTGGTACTTCTGTACCCCTCTCATTTGAACCACTGAAAATGCTTGTAAGAGTGACTAAGTAATAGTATTACTTGCCCAGCACCCCATAGGTTAGTGGTAGAGCTGGGAATAGAGATCGAAAGCTGTGGCTCCTAGTTCTTTGATACAGCTAGTAGGCAATGCATGGTAACTTTCAGTGGAGTGAGATGGATGAAATGCTTGAAAAATGTACATCTCGTGGTCTCGAGTCCATCCAGAACTTCATCTTTGGATGTCATCTGCGCGTGCTTGTTCAAACCTTGCAAATGTAAAAAGCTTTCCGAGGCAGTTATATGTCCAGACTTGTTATTTACTGACGTGTGCTACTTAGAAGCCCTCTCCTATGGGAAGTGGTTGGGGATTAGCCCAAAGGAAGGGAGCAAACCGGCTGCAGTCACACTGTCTCACTTTAGGGCCTCAGATCTCAGGCTCCGCTCTCTGTTAATAGCAGACCATGGAGCTCAGCTTCTATATCAAATCATGGTTTTGCTTTAAATTTTTTTTTTCACAGAAGCTTTTTTTTTTTTTTAAACATGAGGCTTGAGTGATATGATAGACCATGGGATGGGAGGTGGAAAAGGAAGTAGAGAGTGGCCAGAGGGAATACAGGTTTCTGGGGAGCTCATTTATAGGCTTGCTCAAACTCAAAGATGTGTTTAAACTTGCGATAGTGGGACTATGGGGTGAGGAGAGAACCAGGCACAAGCCTGATAGATGCCATCAATAGGTTTATTCAAGAACAAGGTGATTAAAAATAAAATTAATTTGGAGGTTGCATTACTGTGGAGAGGGAATCCCACAGACTTCTGAAGCCTATAAAACACAGCCTGTTCTCATGTACACTGGGGCCTATTTGAAGTGACTCCATTGATTTCCCCCACTCCTCCCAGTGGTGCCCAGATGAGAATCTGGCATATAATCTAGATCGGCGGTTCTCAAACTTTTTGGGCTCAGGAGCCCTTACATGCGTAAAAATGTATGCGGAGCCCCAGCAGTCCACTGATTGTATGTGTTGTACCTATTGATGTTTCCAGTTTGTCATCCTCGCGGAGCCCTGGGGCTCCGCAGAGCACAGTTTGAGAAACACTGATCTAGATGACTGAAACATACCTGAACTTCTGGGGTGTAGGGTTGTCTGCTTGAACCAATACTATTCTGGGAGGGATTTTTTCAACATAACGTAATGTCATTTTCTTGAAATATCCTATTTTAAATCACCTAGATTGTTTTCAGCAGTCACTGGAAGATCGATGCCAATTTCAGGAGACTCCAAGCCAATCCTGGAGGGCTGGCAACCAATGTTCTCTCTAATCTTTTGCATTCATGTGCAAATTTTTTCCATGCAAGTGCAGAATAAGTTCATGTGCACCAAGGATGTGCACCACTAGTACAAAGAGAAAACTTAGTTGAGAACACGCTGCTAATCAGCTGGGTGGCATTTTGAATCTCTCCTGAGTTGGCGCACAAGTGCATGGCTTACAGAGAACAATGTTGGCAACCCTATACAGGTGTAGTTTGGGCATCTTAGAGAAAATATTCTAATCTTCCACGCAACAGGCGTCAAATCTGCAGGCAGTGATGATGGTGGGCTGGGGTGAGCTGGTGCGGTGCACCAGTAAGAACCAGACACCGGTACGATCCCACACGTGGCTAATATTAAAATGCTTCAGCAGCCAGTACTGATGAGCCACTGATATTAGAGAGCAAAAGGGGCAGTTGTCCCAGGACCGATGATTTAAAAGGGCCTGGGGCTCTTCAAATCACTGCCACAGCCCCAGAGCTCCTGGCCGATTATGCCTGAGGCCCTGCCTCCTTTCCAGGTCCAAGAACTACCCCCTCATTTGCAACAGATGCTGGGCCTAGTATAAGGTGCATTGCTAATAGGAATGTCAACGTGCAGAGGGTGAGGGGTACAAGCAGGAGCCAGTATGCACAGGGAGCCGGCTTTTGGCCATCTCTCCACATGTGCCAGCTCCATGGACCTGCCTGCCTTCCCCTCATCTCCCCGCCCCACTGCCTCCTACAGAGGCAGTAGCATGGGGCCCCGGGGGCAAGGGCGGCTGCCATGAAGCAACCTCTGTCCACGGCAGGCACAGGCAGGGGCTGCTGCCATCCTACACTGCTGCCTCTGTATCAGAGGCAGCAGCAGGGGGTGGCATGCATGAGTTGGCGTGTGTGGGGAGCTGTTTTTTAAACTGACTCCCCTTGCGGACTGGCTCCTGCCTGCTACCCTGTACTGCTCTGGGAACAGTCTGTTCGGTCGCTTTTTAATATATTAATTGAGCTGCTGGCGCACTCTCGGCTTTTGAGAGAACTATTTCTGGAAGGGTTTTCTAAAGTCTTAATCTCCATCCACATGCAAGAAGGGTTTGTTCCCCAAAGGTTTGGGGCAACCTACTCTGAAGATTGGTGGTTGAAAACTCCTTACATGGAAACAGGTGAAAGACTCATTTCCCTTTAACTCCATACTTCCATTTTGCTGTAAACAAGCTATGGACCACAAGAGACTTAGCCAACCCAAGATACCTTTCCCAGGTAAAAGGATGGTGATGTACTCTCTGTTCCAATTTTTAATTCTGCTGCTAGGCAGTAATGTTTAGAAGGATCATGCCCAAGTTGAGGATCACAATTTGAGGAACACAATGAAGGCTTCTGGGTGACTATTTCGGGTGTATCGATTTCCCTCTCTCTTTATAGATTGGAAGAATCAAACTGTCCGTGGGCAATCCCAGGAGAACCCAGACTATTCCCTCCTGTTTCCAAAATCTGTACAAGCCCCTTGTATTTAGTCAGACCCCTGGGCTGACTAAATAGATCAGTGGCTGCCCTTTTTACCTCCCCTTCAACAAAATGTTTCCTTCACTGAATCCTGCATTCCACTCAAAGGCTAGAGAGAGTGCAGACAAGATTCAGCTGAAAACTGAAACTCTTTCCAGTGATGCATTGCCAAGAAAGAACATCCTAGCCAGACAGGTCAAGCTACTGGAAGCAAACCAGACTTGCTGGGTAAGGCCTACAGCAGGGGTGGGCAATAAAAAAAAAAAAAGGCAGCCCACAGGGTTAGTTCCTGGTGGGCCACCAACACCATGTTTACCTGCTCCTCCACAGGTATTGGAGGATTGCAGCCCTGGTTGGCTGTGAATCGCTGTTCGCAGCCAATGAGAGCAGCGGGAAGCATTGTGGAATGGGATGCTGTTTCCCACTGCTCGCATTGGCTACAAATGGTGATTCGTGTCCAACAAGAGCTGTGATCCTGCGAAGGTGAAGGTAAATACGGAGGTGAGGGCCCGCCAGGGATTAATCCTGCAGACTGGATCTGGCCCGTGGGCTGGAATTTGCCCAGCCTGCAGCAGCTGCTATGCAAAGTGGTTACCTTTTAATATGGTTCCTCCGCTTTTTTTTAAGTGTGCAGCGTGGTGCAATGGAATTTAAACATAAGGTGAGAGTTGGGGAAACTCCTGAAACTCCTTAGCTGTTCCATTGAGACTCATTTTGGTCTTGGTCAAAATCACTTGGCTTCTCTGTATCTTTGTTTTCCCCTTTGAAGTTTAGACTCAATTAACATTTGTACAGGGCACTGAAGATGAAAACGACTGCCATTTCTTTTATTGTTTTTTCTCCCCAGGAATTGCCAATCACAAGAAGAAAAGGCTTCCTGCCTGAGCTTGCTGCCCCGTTCTCTGCTTTCCTGACTGACAGCTTTGGCCGTCAGCACAACTACCTGCGGATCTCCCTGACTGAGAAATGCAACCTCAGATGTAAGTCTGTTTTTCTTCCTTTTCTGTGTCCCAGCGAGGTTCGTATACTCCATAGGCTAGGGGAGAGCCACCTGTAGGAATTCGAGCAGGACAAAACTTTTGAACCAAAATCCTTTCTGGGTGGAAAATAGAGATGAGGTGACCCCAATTCTTTTGCCTTGGGTTGGCCTCCTTTCAGACATAAGTGGTCAACTGGATTTAGAGACTTATCAAGGAGGCGTAAAGTTGTTGTTGGTATTAAGCCAGCAGTCTTGTGTGCAGGTTGCTAGTTTGACTCTGTTTGCAAGATGGAACAATTGGCAGTTATAGGCAGTTGCTGTGCAAAGTGCATCCATCCTCGCCAGTGGCTGATCCAACTCTTTGCTGATCCTTCCAGTCACCCATGTATTTCTTGATTGCTTGTTCAGGTCAGTACTGTATGCCAGAGGAGGGAGTTCAGCTCACCCCTAAATCAGAGCTTCTCACTACCCAGGAGATAATCACCCTTGCCAGGCTCTTTGTGAAGCAAGGTGTGGACAAGATCCGATTGACTGGAGGAGAACCGCTCATCCGTCCTGATGTGGTTGATATTGTGGGTAAGTTCCTGGTCTGGCTTTATCTTCCTTTAGGAAATGCCACAAATCATGCAGCACAAAGATGTCTCCGTCCGCTGGCCAAACTTCCCAATGTGATCAGACCACGTTCTGAGGACATGTGGAAGTTTTTTCAAGGAGTTTTGTAAGTGTGTTTGTCTGAAGGAGACATTGATTATTTCCATTGAGTGAGCAAAGTTGTTCTTCTCTGGCTTTTCTCAGCCCGGTGGGGCATGGATCCATTTGACAGATTGTGATGCTAACGTTTTTAGGACTTCTTAAGTTTGTTCTGTTTGATGGGGCCAAATTGTGTCAGGGTGGATAATAGTCTAGTTTGAATGGAATTTCCTTTCTAAGTTTGTCCCAATGTGTTCCATACGTTTTCAATCTCTCTTCTCAGCAAAATGTGCTGTGTAATTGATGCTTGTCAGATATTTGGGCTGTGCAGTCCAGATTGATTAGCCAGCTCGCTATACAAAATAGCTGTGCTGGTGTTTGGTTGTGGGGCGATAGACGGGTCGTTGTGCATCCATTACCACAGTGGTGCATGAGTTGTAAGTGGCCCTGTAGGATGGAGTCAGAATGTGGTTTCCACTCCAGCTTTCTGCCTGTGCACTTCATCTGGTGTGGTTAATCTGTGAATTTAGGTGATCATTTTGATTAGCATCAGGGCAAATGGGACCAGTTAGGTCATTGCATTATTGGTATTGGATGTTTGGTGATTGTACAGTTGGACTAATCATAGGTGCCTTGAGTCTGATATTTGTGTAGTTTCTTCTAGTGTGATTTGAAAATCTAGAGAATTCAAGAGTCTACACATGATTTTTTTTTTCTTCTTTTTAGGTTGTCTTGTAATTTACTGTACAAGTGTCTGGTACATAAACACACACAGAACCAAAATAAATGGCTTGTCATTAAAAAAGGGAGGGAGCTTTTGCTAAGCAAGACAGGTCCACTGATGTGTTTTCTTCAGACCTCAAACTGCTGCAGAAATGGTGCCTTGGAAAACAAAGGGGTGGATGGGAAAGTGAATGGTGCTATAATTGAAGGCAGGGAGACTGGATGGCCCAAGAAGCCTTTTCAGGTCTCAGTTGTTCATAGCTTTTGATACACACAGTTTTGTGACTTTGCACATTCTGGGCAGAGGCCTCTCAACAAGACAAGCTGCTGCCCCAGGCACAACTTAATTCTGCCGTTCCTGATCCAGAGAACCTGTACGTCAGAGCTTGGGGATCCTTTTCTCCTGGGACTTGCAGTGGGGGTAGCTGACAAGGGGTTGGGAACTCTGGTTTGGGAGGGAGTGGGGCTGGGCAGCAGGTTAGGTGTATGGGAGGAGACTTGCGGGATTATGTGGAAGGCAGGGGCTAGGTGCCTGCAGGATGCAGGGGTACCCCGGTTCACTCTTACCACCTCTCCTATGCAGACCCTTGTTAGAACAGCTACCAGCTGCCCACACACCCCCAACTTGTACCTGGCCCAGTGAAATGGGAGGCTACTTCCCACCCTGGGATTTAGCAGCACTCCTGTAGTGCACATGTGAATGGGTGCAAATTGGTGCATCAGCGTAGTTTGTATCTGCAGGGTCTCCCTGGGGCAGTGTGAGTGTTCAGCAATTCACACCACTTCTCCAAGGAGTCAGATGCTCATTGGCCTATAATTAGAGCAGACCCAGCTTCTGGGATGGATTCTCTTTCCCAGTAAAATGAGTGCCAACTGTAGGGAGTGAAAAACAACCAGCAAGACTGGTTTTGTTTCCAGTAGCTTGACCTGTCTGGTGAGGATGTTTTCTTGGCAATGCATCACTGGGAAGAGTTTGTTTTCTTCTGAATCTTGTTTGCACTCTCTCTAGCCTTTGAGCGGAATGCAGGATTCAGTGAAGGAAACATTTTTGTTGAAGGAGAAGGTGACGGGCAGCCATTGTGATCTACAGGCAGTCCCCGGGTTACGTACAAGATAGGGACTGTAGGTTTGTTCTTAAGTTGAATTTGTATGTAAGTTGGAACTGGTACATATTGTAGGGGAAACACTAGCCAAACATTTCTCCAGAGCTCAGTTTTATTCTCCCACACCTCACTTCCCTCAGTCCTTTATTCTCAAGATGAGGTGTCTGCTGAGAAAAGCCGCTCCACGTCTCCCTGGTCTGCTGCGGGGGTGGGGGAGGGGAGGGCGCTAGCTTCGCGTCTCCCTGGTCTGCTGTGGGGAAGCAGCTAGTACAGGGTTGCCTCACATCGGATCCCTACTTACAAAGGGGGTAAGTCGGATCCATGTAACCCAGGGACTGCCTGTACTGGCACAAAAATATGGCTGAAGTCAGGAAGGAATTATCCATGTTCAATTGTTCTGCTTTTATGTAACTCTAAATAACATTTTCTGAGTACTAGAGAATTCCTTTATTTGTTATTTCGCTGATCTTGAAGTGGGAGCTGCAGGTACTTTGTCTAAATGGATTGAGCATTTGGGTACTTTTGCTTAAAGAGAGACAAATAAATGTGTGTGTGGTAGGAAAAAAATAGGCATGGGGGCAACATCTTTATTGCCATGAGTGTGAGATGGCTGCGTTTAATTCTCAAGTGATTTTCTGCAGTCTAGCCTCCTGCATTTCCCTCTTTGAAATACCTTGGTAAATAATGTAGTTAGTCTGGGCAGTTCTTAGAGACATTTACAAGCCTGTTTATATGAATGGTTTGAAATCTATTAATACATCATTGTTTGGCTGTAGTGTACATAAGTGTGTATGTCTATGTGTTTTCATGAGAACACGATACAAACTTTAGCACCGCAGCCATCTTTTGGGTGCAAATGCTGTTGGTGTTTTACCTCAGCAATGCTCAATTCTGGGTGAATAAACTTCCCCTGCTGTAGATTTAGTTGGAAATGTTACTTTTTCTGCCATTTCTAAAAGATGTACACCTTAGCAACAGCCTGCACTTCCCTGTAAAGCATTGTGTGCTGTGACACTATTTGAAAGCAGTTTAAACGTTCAGTGGTGCAGTGTTTAGACACACAGTGTGGGTAAGCTTTGCATTCAGTTAATGAATACACTTCTAATCTATAGTCTTGATGTTAATTGCATTAGCCAAGTATATGTTTCACATATTAGAGAAACACTATTCACATATTTCCGGTCTGACTGGAAATCGAAGTCCAGTAATAATCTGAATGTAATAGGACGCAGCTGTGTAAACCAACCAGTGACTGGTATTAGACAAATCTATCTTTAGAGGAGTTTAAATTCCAGTTATTGCCCTTTTAACTGAGGCATAAATCATGCCCTGCAGACATAGCTTTGGAATCAGTATCTTGAAGTGGCCTTTGCAAGATGGTCATTTAAAATATACACTTACCTGTAGGTATGATTTACATATCTGAATTTTGCTATTTTAATAACCTCTGATTAATCATTGATGGTGTTTTTCTTCAAATTGGAGAGTGAAACCAATTTGCTCCATTTCACTTCCTCTCACTACTTAATTCGCTTTTTGGATTTCATCAGTTAAAACTGTGCTGTTTTTGTTTCCCCATGGGGAAATCATGACATTTATTTCTTAACTAAGCAAGCATATGTAAATACTCCTAATTATTTTGGATTTTTAAACCCTTTTAGTGTCTCGCTCCACTTTTAAGGCCCCTTACAAACCCTAGACATGATTCACTCTTGAGAAGCTTTCCTTAAGCAGTATGTAGTGTCTAGGGGGTTGGCAATATTGATGCTCCGAATTTAGTGTAGTTTTCATTGAATAAATATTCTCTCTATATAAAGTGTAATAGATCTGCTGCTAGTAAAACTCCTGAAGTCTGTAAGGGATAGAGGAATAATCAGTGCCATGTTCTGCTAAGACGCTGAGTCTGCACACGCACACACCCTACTCCTGCCTTTTTTTTTCCCCCAATACAATAATGCGGCTTCAAGCCAGTGTGGGAAACTAGGTTCTTTGGTCTCTTTTATTTATCAATAGCCCTGCTTGCAACTCTTCAGACTGTTTAGAAACTCACGTGCACCATGAGTCAGCAATTGCTACTTACCACAGTGTATGCAGTGTCCTTTTGCTTCCTCAGTACAAGGTCCTGAGGTGACCTAATAAATGGGTATAAAGATCCTACCAGTTTCATAAGTATGAAAAAATGTCAGACCATGAAATAAGTCCTTCTTTTTGAAATCGAATCTTTCTTCTGGCTACTAGAAGAAGCTACACTCTGATGGCGGTGTAGTGATCTATGTGAGTGTGTCTGCATATAAAATGCTGTAGTGCTTCAGTGTAGACACGACCTATGCCAAAACCAGTAGGGGTTCTCCCATCGCGTAGATAGATGGGTAATCCCCTCCTTAAGAAACAGTAGCAGCTCTCTCCCTAGCACTGTCTGCATTGAGGGTTTGGATGGCATAGTTACATCTCTCAGGGGTAGAGATGTTGCTAACTGATGTAAAATCCAAGTGTAGGGCATTCCAACAGAATATCCTGGATTATGTTTTGTTAGAAACTCCTTTTAAATTGTGTCAAGGGACAAGATGGGAGGGGTTTTTCATTAATCATGAAGATATTTGTGCAACTATTTTACTAATATTTCCCCCAAGGATCTCCAAGCTGATGCTGAAGACTGTGTGGGGTTACGGTCAGAGTATCTGCAAAATAAAAAATTGTCTTATTTACACAGCCCCATAATGTTGCATGGCAGTTTGCAGACAAATAAATGCATTATTCAACAAGTCTGCATATTTTCCAGATGCTAACAAGTTAGTTCCGCAAAGCCAAATCAGCTGATTCTAAATTGAATTATCTCTCTAGTACTGGTGATTTTCCCCATCTGGTGACAGAAGACCATCTATGACCTTTGCTTTGAGTGGTTCTTCTGTTTTGTTTTGGTATTAAATAATTAGTTCAGCTTTGCTAGGTTATAGAAACTTGGGATTTGTCAGTAGGAGGGTAGGAACCCATTGAAAGAGAATATGCCATTTTCAGAGAGAATGATCTGTCCATGAATGGACGACAAATGAAAAAATGGTTGTCGTCTTTATTTAATGCTAAAGGCTGCACTCGCACTTCAGATTACCAAATTAGGCAATCTGATCCCCTCCCCTCCTCCCTCCAGTTATATTGGGTCACTGTGCCATTTGGCTTTGTGTTTGTTTAGCTACTGATTATTTTTTTGGCTGAAGTGATTACGATTAGCGTAATCCAGGTGCACACCTCATGGCTCTATTATGAAATCTCTCTCAAATCCTTTCTGAGTATACTGGTCAAACAGTACCGCAAGACACAATATAGCTGCAGATGTTTGACTGTTTAGCCTGCACATATAAACAAGCCAGCAAGGATAGTGGCTGGTCCTGGTGAATGACTGCAGACTCTAAGGATTAGTTCTGTCCTTAATTTCAGATCTTGGTGTGTGTTTTTTTTTTTTTTTGTTTGTTTGTTTTTTTCAGTATCGTGCCTTCTGTTAGTCTCAAGTGAATTGTTGAGTATCCATTGCACAAAGAAAGAGGCAGTGATGAGAACCACATTCTGGCCTAATTGGCTAAATTCTGGTGGTGACGTAATAGTTCATGTTGGAATCCATCTGTTTCAGGCTGCAGCATGAAAGTCTGATTCAACTCTGCTTAAACCTGTGCATACTACTGTGCCTTAACAGCTGTGAAGTCAGTTGTGGCTGCTGTCATTTCTCTGTTGCTGGAAGCTTGGTGGTTGATGTAGTTCTGAGGATGGCTGATGGGCAAGAAAAGCAGTTACACTGATGTACTTTCTTCTCCCTTGCTGAAAGAACAGCACATTCCCCTGTGGGCAAACAGAAGGTGATGCTAGCTAGTGCTTCTCCCACAACTGCTGGCAGACAGTAGCTCACTCCTGGTATACGGGGAAGGTTTGAGACCTCCAGAAATGAAAGTGAATAGAAAGTTGGTTCTTGTTGAACATCGCCAATGTCCCTCTGCTTTCTATACTCTTGGTACTGGGCCTACATCTTCTAATCCTCTGCACTGGCCACAAGTACTTTCATCAGCCACCCTTAAGGTCTCAGTTTGGCTGCAGCTGAAGGGAGTATTCCCAGCCCGATGAGACATACTCATACTAGCACTAACATGCTAAAAATAGAATATGGGAGCAGCTAAGGTCTTGAATGCTTGCCTGTCAGACACTAGATACGCGCTCAGGCTGGCTTAGCCCCTCCTGCCACTTGCATCACCGCACCTGCGTTCCACTGTTCCCATGCCAGCTCAGTGAGAGGCACCAGAATAGAGCCTAGTGCTCACTCCTGGAGCGAACAGATGTAGAAGGCAGGTCATCCTTTAGGTTTGCACCTTAAATAGGCAGATGTATATGGGGATACAGACAGGCTTGAGTACCACTAATGGTGCGGTACCAGTGAAGGCAGAAGTGGTGGGAGTGCTTAAGTCTATGGGGATTAGGTGACCTCCTGCTCTTTTACTACTATGCTTTGTGCAGAACTTCTCCAAGCAGGGTTGGATGCCAGGGTGGTAAAAATGCCTGTGTCCTGTCCACACGAACGTTCCCTCTGTTGGTAATGCAGTGGGTGGGAGGCTGATCACTCAGACTGGCAATGCTTGTATTAATACTAGTGACGAACTCTGAAGATACCAGACTGTAAACTATACCACCACAGTGTCTTGTAACCTCCTTTAAATTCCCTGTACAGTTTTTGGTGGCTACAGCGTGCTCTGCTAGCTATCTTAAATTGCTTGTATAATGCTGCTTTGGGCTGTTAAAGTAACTGCTACTTCCCCCCCAGGGGTGGGTGAAGCCGTTTTCAGTGAATGAGACATCGTATGCTATAGTGTGTAAAACTTTCAGGACAAAAGATGCTATATATGTGCAAATAGTTCAGGATCTGGATGCTGTCAGGGTCCTAACACAGTGACGGTTAGCAACTGAGCTTTTAGCATGGGCATTCAGCTTTCAGAACTGGACAGTTGGGAGATGGACTCATTTATTCTGGACTGTGGGCCTTCCTTCAACGTTAGAGCACTAATTCGCTATAATAAATATAGTGCAAAATTAATCTGTATCCAGAGCATTTTGATGAAGTTATTGAAATCACTGCCGCTTCCAAATGTTAGCTCCTTTAATACTATTTGACTCTGGCTTGTGCTATTTTCTAGTAAGCTAGTAAGCACAGCTCCCAAGAGAATGAGGTACAGAAAGCTGTGCTGATTTTGTTAATAAAGCCCATTTGGTAAGGGGTGAATGTCCCTCTCTGGCTATCTTATGCAGTGAATTGGTAAGTAATTGGGTGAATGGTCTTGGCAGATGGAGGGTTTTGGGCTCTTGGCTACATTTGTTAGGAAAATAACTTGCCCCTCCCTGCCATTGTACATATGCCATTCCCTAGTGATCTCTAGAATGGTGTCTTGCGTCTTGTGATTGAACTCTAACCATTAAATCTTCTCCTTTCCCCTGCTGTTTCCTAGGTCAGCTGTACAAGCTAGAAGGGCTACAAACTATTGCTGTCACAACCAATGGGATCAATTTAGCTAGGCTGCTGCCACGGCTGAAGGATGCTGGACTGGATGCCATTAACATCAGTTTGGATACTCTTGTTCCGGCCAAATTCGAGTTCATCGTCCGGAGGAAAGGTACAGAAATTCAGATAACCTCTCTCTCGTCATAGAGTAACATTGTCCATCTTTTTATATTCCTGTTTGTTTAGCTAGTCTCTTTCAAACTTCTGTTGGGAATGAAGTGAAATTCCCTTCTTTAAGACCAGCCTAAAACATCTGCACTTGGCTTGAGTTTCCCTTTTCCCTTCTATACAACCTTTTCTCACAGGCAAATCCCCTTTTCGTGGAGGAATAAAGAACGCTTGTGAATAACAGCTTGTTCTCTTTATCTACTGAGGCCAGGAGAGGAAGCAATGGGCTTAAGTGGCAGCAAGGAAGACTTAAGAAGCTTTTTCTAATGTCTAACCGAACTATAATGGTCACTAAGCAGTGGAACACATTACCTAGGGAGGATGTGGACTCTCTATCATTGGCCAGTTTTAAAAAACAAGTTAGACAAACACCTGTCTGGGATAGTCTAGATCGTACTTGGTCCTGCCTCAGTGCAGGAGACTGGACTAGATGCCCTACTGAGGTCCCTTCCAGTTCTACATTTCTGTACTATGCTGATTTAATTTGTGTGTAGTTAGTACTGCTGTACATCCTCTACTTTTTAACATGGATAAACAGACCCTGAGGTCACTGATGAGGGGGTAGGACTCCTGTAAAAAAAATTTTAAGCTAGTGAATCCAAATGTAAATTTCAGTGACCTAGAACAGCCACAAATACAAAATATGATTGTGGTTGTATATTTAAAAGTTCCTTTTAAATGAACCCTAATGCTCGACATGAAGTTCAACCCAAATTTTCAGGTTTGGTGAATGTCATATTGGAAAAATCTAGTTTCACGTCCTTATTTTTTTAAATCCAACTCCTCATCCAGTGGGGAGCAACTTGTGGCCACACACACCTCAACAGGATAAGCCGCTGGCAGGGCTCCAGACAGGTTGTTTACCTTCCATCTGCAGGTACGGCTGCCAGCCACTCCAATTGGCTATTGCCAACCAATGGGAGCTGCGGGAAAAGATGCACGCTGTAGGTTGCCCACCACTGACCTATGTTGGCTACTAGTTTAGAGACAATGTCTCCCCGTTGCCACCAGATGGTGCTGCAGAACCAATAAAGTTGAGAAGCTAATTAAAACTGCAAGGCTGCAGAAAAGTAACTGTAATATATTGAGCACTTGCTAATGAGCCAAGGTTTCACTGTGTTTCCCTACCACACTAACCCTAGACAATAGCACATTATGTGTATCTCAGGTGAGGAAAGGTGACCTGTGTGTGTCTTTCTGGATACTTGTTTGCTTAATCTTCTGACCCCTGATGAGGAAATTCATTCTTTCGATACAGATCTCACACAAATTAATCATTAACACTAGAACTGGAAGGGACCTTGAGAGGTCTTCAAGTCCAGTTTGTGTAATACAAGAAATAAGTCAGAATATGTCATCTAGATCAGTGTTTCTCAACCAGTGCTATGAGTACCATTAGGGGTACTTGAGAGAAGTAGGGGGAATACGTCAACACAACTGAAATTTGGAGAAAACTGAATTTTTGTTTTAAGTTTTACAGCATTTTAATATTTTTGTACTTTTTACACCCAAAATGTCATTGTCCACCCGGCTACAATTACGTTGTTTAAACAAATGTGTTGCAATGGTAGAAAAAAAAGTGTCTCTGAAAACTGTGGGTACAGGGGGTACTTTATATTTAAAAAAAAAAAAAAAAGATTTAGAAACACTGGTCTAGGTCATCCCTGACAGCTGTCTGTCTAACCTGCTCTTAAATATCTCCAGAGATAGAGATTCCACAATCTCCCTAGGCAATTTATTCCAGTGTTTAACCACCCTGACAGTTAGCAAGTTTTACCTAAAGTCCAACCTAAACCTCCCTTGCTGCAGTTTAAGTCCATTGCTTCTCATCCTATCCTCAGAGGCCAAGGAAAACAATTTGTCTCCCTCCTCCTTGTGATACCCTTTTAGGAACTTGAAAACCACTATCATGAACATTGCCTCTCTAAGGCTGCATCTACACTGCACAGTTATTTCAGAATAAGCTATTCCGGAATAGTTATTCCGAAATAGCTTATTTTGAAATAGCACATCTACACTGCAGGGAAGCCTCAAAATTAGCCTGAGGCAGGCTAGCCTAATGTGATGTGCTATCTCGATATAGAGCGCCAGGAGGAATAACTTAGAATGGTCCTGGTGAGAGGTTATATCAAAATAGCAGAAGTGGAGCATCTACACACACTTTATTTCAAAATAGCTATTTCGAAATAGGTGTTATTCTTCATAGAATGAGGTTTACAGAAGTCAAAATAAGCCATTTATTTTTAAATTATTTTGAAATAACAGAATTGCTGTGTAGATGCTCACATAGTTATTTTGGAATAACCACCTTAATTTTGAAATAACTTTGCTGTGTAGACACCCCCTCACTCTCTTATCAGGAAATGGCATTGGTGTGGTTGCTTCATGGCAAATAGTGCAGGAAAATTCAAAGGTATACTGGGGCACTAATGGAAGTCCTGCTCACTCTTTGCTTTTCACTACATGCACTTAAAGATGAGGCTCCTTCTCTCCTATTGAAGGGATGAACTTGATCCCACAGCTTCTTGAATGAATGACAGCAACCCTGGATATCTGATTGGAAACCACTAGGAATTTACTGCTTATAAATTACATCTCACTAAACTTGCTAGGAAAAGTTGTGATTATATATGTTTGTTTAAAAAGTCTTCTAACCACAGATCCCAAACGTGCAGGGGATAGATGGGGAAAATTCCCAGGGGTTTAAATAAAATGTATAAAAAGAAAGGTAAGAGTAATTTACTAGTTTTCTAAGACTTTGGATGAAGGAGAAAGGGTAAAACCAATAACTCCTGGGGTATGTCTAGACTATATCCCTTTTTGGTAAAAAGATGTAAATTAGGCACATTGATATTGCAAATGAAGCCGGGATTTGAATTTCCCATTCTTCATTTGCATAAAGTATTTTTTCATGACTTCAGAGCAAGTTTGATAGTGAAGGGAAGAGTTCACCATAGACGGGGTCTGGTAAAACTATGAAAGCATAGTGAGTAGACACTTTGGGGTGGGTATTGAGAGAATAGGTTCTGGTTCAGTAGGCTTTAGAGGAAGGGGAAGGGAGAGGTTTCCAAAACTTAGTAATCCTATTGCCTGGGAACCTTTTCAGTAGCAGTGCTGGAGTCTGAAGAATAAACTTGCACATGAAGGAGGAAGAGCAAGTCTGATTGGGGTGTTGACCTGTGACTCAATTCCCTGCAGTGCCACAGATTTCCTAGGAAGCCTTGGGAAAGTCACTTAATCCCAGATCCTCAAAGCTATTTAGACACCAAACTCCCACTGATTTCTGTATGAATTAGGTACCTAAATATATCTTGAGGATCTGGGCTTTTGTCTGTCTGAGCCTTCATTTCTCTTTCTGTACCATGGAGACAATCGCCCAGCATTACCTCACGGAGATATGGAGGCTAAATGAACTACAAATTGGTATTTCAACAATAGGGGCCATATAAATAACTTAGCTCCTTCCGCCTCCTATGGAATGAGCCAGTGGAGGGCACCTGCACTTTGATGGGATTATCTGTGTTTGCTTACAACCTGCTTCATTTGTTTAGCTGGCCTCTGGAGGCAATGAGATCACAGAATCACACCACTGAACTCGGGCTTCAAACTACTACTCCTCCAGGAATGAAATTTTCCCAGAGGAATCCCAGCTGACACCACCCCAGTGGGGTTGTGAGCATAAGCATTGACCTGGATAGGACCTTGCCTCAGAGAGAATGAGGGACTGTGGGTGTAGCTGGGAATAAGAGGAGGAAGGACAACAGTCCATACATTGCACCCTCTTCACATCATCCCTATCCAGCTGTGCATGTGTGTTCTGCGGCGTGGGGCTGAGTTTCGTTGACTGGCCTCTGGGTTCAGTTAAGGATCACCTTTTGGCATTGCCAAAGTTGCACTGTTGCTTCTCCGCTCAGTCCTGAGAAGTTGCTGGGCTCCCAGTGCTGTTCATGACTCTGGGGCATGTTTATAGCAGCCTGTTATGATCTCCCCTGCCATGTTGAGTCTGCATTTTGATGAATGGAAGTAAAGCCACCATTGATGTCACAGGTTTCCTGGGTACCAGCAAAGCAAACACACTTGTGGGGAGAGAAAGCAAATGAGCAATGGATTCAAGCTGCTGGCATGTGAGGTCCTTTAGTTTGATTTGCCCTGTGCCCTTCTCTCCTCCATCCCATTTGCGTCCTTCCATTTTACAGGGATAGCATTCAAGGAGCTATAATTGTTAGTTGGAAAAGATCAGTGGGACTGGCATCCTCTGCTTCCCACCTAGGCACCCGTTTTGATGTGCCCACCCTGAACTAGCCAGGGTGGGATGGGTGGAAAGCTCCCAGTTCTCTGTTCTTCCCAGTCTTGTTCATGGCATTCTTTGTGTATCTAGTACTGTAGAGAGGGACTGCATGGGAGAAGCCACTTGCTTATTTCCAGTAGCTTCCATGGGGGACAGGGCACTTGCCAACCCAGAAGCCGTGACCCCTGCCCTAAGGAACCCAGGCAGGCAAGAGAGCAGACAGCAGGTAGGGAAAAGAGCCACAGATATGAACAGTACAAGAACGTTCAGTTCATCCCAGTGAGGGAAAGGCCAGGCAGTGGCTGTACAGACTCTCCATGTACTCTATGCCCGTGGTAGCAGCGATGGTGGTGACTTTTACTGTAGCCTGTATGAGCCCCAGGCACAAACCAGGATCCCACGGAGCTGGGCGTTGTACAAACCCAGAACAAAAATAAGGCCTGGCCCCCAAGAGCTTTCAGTCCATCATGTGTATGGACCCCTCTTTGGTGGGACCACAGTGGGAAGGGGAGGTTCCGGCACCACTGCCTGCACTGCCAGTGGGCAAGTGGGAGGGGCACATAGTGTGAATTGTGATGGTAGCTTTTGATGTGAACTCATGTCTCCAAGCTCCGGATCAGACCCGGCGGCAGAGGATCGCGGGAGGCTGGACGGAGGGGAGGAAACCCGACGGTGGTTTCTCAGGGGCTAGGAGCGAGGGGCTACTTCTCCGGGGGCGGGGCTGAGGAGCTGGTGCCCATTGCAGGAGGCGGTCTGGTTGCTGTGGCACAGTGATAACGTGTCTGCTTTCAAACCAGCTTTTCCCATTAAAATGCATGCCCCTTGTTCCATGAGGCTATGTTACAAATTGTCACCTCATTCCCTGCATGATAGGAGAGCGATCACATCTCTTCAAGTGTGAGTGTCTTAGGCTGAACATATTGAACCACCCCCAATTTCAAACAGTGATTTCTAAAGCCAGAAATGTCTGCTATTTTGGCATCCAGGAAACAATTTCACCATTCACACTAATACAGGTGTTCATGTGTAGTGTATCAATGTGTTATTAAATAATAACTGAATAAAATAATATTAAATACATAATTAAAAACAACATCCATGTTTTGATTGTTTTTTATTTGGACCTCAAGTGTGTAGTCGGCCCCCGAACTGCTGTTTGATAGTTAATGCGGCCCTCGGGCAGAAAAGTTTGGAGACCCCTGAGCTAGACTGACAATTCACATCCTGGTCACCTATTCATGGCAGGGAGCAAATTTTTTGCTGCTAGTTCTCTTCCTAACTTTAACAAAGAAACGGGATTGTCCCTTGGTGTGGGATAGTAGTGAGGATGGGAGAAGGAAGATGGGTGGAGACTCCGTATCAGAGGATTAGGCTAACTACTTCTCCTACTGCAGTCCCTGCAATTTCTGATTCTTCTCTCATCCTTTCAGGAAGGCCCAAAGCCAGGTTAATTGGTCTCCTAAAAGCTCTTTCAAACTGACACGTTAGATAATTCATCAAAGGAGGATACCATGAAAAGCTGCCTGTCACCTTAAAATCAATGTCAAAAGCCATTTGCTTTTCTAGGAATAGATATAAATCTATGGTGAGGGATGAGCTGGGGATTTGGGCATGTTTGTTCCATTTCTTGATTCATTAAGCGGCTTCTTGCAGTGGTCAACTTACAGATACCTCTTCTGGGGGTCACTTTTTTAAAAGTGACACTTAGGAATTATTTAATGTTGGGGTGGGGGAGGCGCTTTACCCTCCTTAAACCTGGAAACACTTTTTATGCTCACCCACTTTAGTGACACGCAGGGTAGTGATGGGCCAAGCTGTACAGAGAAATTAAGGGCCAGATTTCTGAAGGTATTGGGTTCCAAACAGATGCAGGAGTGCCTAGTGGGGTTTCCACAAGCCACTAGGCAACCCTGCATTTTTTGGCACCCAAATATCTTTGAAAATCTGGCCTAAACTGACTTGCCCAAGGTCACTAAGTCTGCAGCAGTCCATCAACTGGACCAGCTGTTTTGTCTCTGCCATCTTTTTGTCTAATACTTACTAACTTGCTCATCTGCAGGGTTTTTTGAAGACTTAATTCTTGTTATATTTTAGGCTTTCATAAAGTAATGGAAGGAATCCACAAAGCCATTGAACTTGGGTACAATCCTGTTAAGGTAAGATCATTTGGTGCGTAACATCCTCAAACCCCATGTTTCATTCGGGCTTGATACTTCAGTTTTCAGGAAGATTGATTTTTTTTCCCCCCCCCTTCAGAGGATGGTAATTTCTGTAAATATTAAAGAAGTTTCCCAGTAGCATCAAAGTGCCTTTCCAGGACATAAGGGGGTCCTACTTCTTCACCTTGTATGACTGATTTGGCCATTTAATCTAGAGTCTCAGAGCATGGAGATCTTACGTGGGAGATGTGAGTCTCAGGTACTCCGCACAATGGCTTAGGCTACTTCTCTCTCTCCAGGTGAACTGTGTAGTGATGAGAGGCCTCAATGAGGATGAACTGTTGGACTTTGTGGCACTCACACAGGACCAGCCACTCGATGTGCGGTTCATTGAATACATGCCCTTCGATGGTGAGTACTCCTGTCATGTAACTGGCTAGGCAGCTCTGCCTTCTCTCCTGGAGATAACGCAGGAAGGGAGGTGAGTCTGTCTGACAAGTCTTCACTACTTGAGCTTTCTTTCTGAATCCTGATTGCATTAACTGTCTGCTACAGGGTGCCGGAATCTTTACTGTCAACCGAAGAGAAGCTTAGCATAAAGTAGCCGTTGTAGTTTTCACTGCTGTGTGAAGCCCCAGTGCAGGTTAATGGTAGGTCAGCATGCCGCAGGGTATGGGTGCTCTGAGATAACCAGGGGGTGGAGGAAGGGGCTGGCTTGTTGCATATTAGCAATACCTTTCCTGCAAAGCAAACTTCATAGAAACAGGGTGGTGTTACAGTTCTAAGGTATGCGCTACCTGTGAAACTTCCTTTACTCCCTCCTCACATCTGCTTTCTATTACTGTGGGGCTTCGCCTACAGTGCGGTTACCCCTGGTGTCCCGAAATAGCTATCCTGCATCTTAACAGCATGTCTGTTATTTCAGAATATACAGTAAAACTCCATTAGTCCGGCATCCAATGCTCCGGGACTCCTGATGGTCCGGCACCATCAGGAACCCGGAAGTGCTGGGGCAACCGGACAGGCTTCCCCCATTCAGCTGCTGCTGAAACTGACCAGCAGCTTAATCGGGGAAGCCGGGAGCAGAGTAGCTGGGGTGCTGCCGGGTTGGTCTTGTAGCACTGCCCCTTGGAGCTGCGGGACCAACCCGGCAGTACCCCAGCTGCTCTTGGGGACGCCTGGGGCAGAGCAGCTGCGG